ATCGCGCCGCATCGCCGATGCATCGCCGATAGGTCGCCGATGCGGCTCGATGCGGAGCCCGACTTTCTCCGCGCTGGCGTCGCCGATGCATCGCTGATGCATCGCCGATGCATCGATCCTCCGACCACATCTGCTCGGACCCCACCTAGAAAGCCTCTAGCTCCGGGGGGCCACCTCGTGGAGGAAGCGCGGCGGAGGTCTGTGAAGGCGCTTGGGGCTCCACACAGACAGCCTCCCCCGAGGCAGCCAGGCCTGCCTCGGGGGAGGCCGTCTGTGCGCGCCCCCGGGCCTCTTGCCGCTGTAGGTGCCCCTGGTGGCCCTGAGCGTGGACCTCCCCGACAAGGCGGCCGAGAACGGCCGCAACGCGGAGATCCTCTCGGAGCACAGGAGACCGTTTCTTTACCCTCTGGCCGCGCGATATAGCGGGCGTCCCTGAGATCCTGGCGTTGCAATTCTTTCGCAACGCGCGTTTTCGCTTGATTTTTGGCCCTGGGGCCCTCGCAGATCGATCCGGCTCGAAAAGGTGACGCAGAAAGAGGGGGTCCCGGGGCCCGGGTGCGATTTCTTGCGATGTCGCATCTTTTCTGCAACGTCGGATCTCAGGGTATATCGGGCGCGACCAGGGGGCCGGCAGTGGCAGCGGAGAGGCGAGGGGGCCGGTCGCATCACGAGGCGCGCCCGCACCGTTCCCAGGAATGCCCAGGGGCGGCCAGCTCCCGCACGGCGCCGACGCGAGTCGTGACGCGACCAGCACGGGGGGCCCTGAGATGTGACGTTGCGGGAAAAAGGCAACATCGCAGAAAGTCACGCCCGGACCCCCGGACCCCATCTTTCTGCGTCCTTCTTCGAGCCGCATCGATCTGTGAGGGTCCTGGGGCCCGAAATCGAGCGAACGAAAATATCGCAACGCCGGGATCTCGGGGGGGCGGCGGGGCCGGTCACGGGCGTTGTCGCGGACATTGCGAAACGGGCTCCAGGCCCCTGCTGCTCATCACGGACGACTCGGACCTGGACGGCACCCTCACAGAGCTCGGGTGCGCGGCCATGAGGAGCTCGTGGGCGGAGCACACATCATCACACGGGGCGTTCCAAAAAGGGCCTTGCCTTTGAGGATCGAAGGAGTTGTCATCTCTTCAGCCGCGGAAGGCGGCGGAAGGTCGGCGGAAGTCACGCGAGGCCGCCTCCGCGGGCGGGAGCCGGCAGAAGGGCGGCCGAAGGTGGCGGAAGTAAGAAAAACGCCTCCCAGGAGATGAAATCGTTTGTGGGTTCAGGGTGTCCGAAATTCGCCATGTATCCGCACCCGCGGCCTCGCGGGCCGGTCCCCTGGACCGCGACCCCGCGGACGCGGGTCGTCTGGTGCGCGGATGCCCCGCGCGAAGACGTTTCAGTGCGACCGCGTTTCTGCGGGATCGCGCCGCGGAATGCAGACCGCGAGGGCGCGGATATGGTGCGCTGGCCGAGATTTCGGCCGATTGAAGTCACAGATCGGGGGCAACGATAAGGGCGGGATAGGCATAGAAGGGGAAACGCATCGACCCCCAACCGCCCACTGATCGCAGACGGAGGCCCCCGCTGAGGAGCGTGGGGAGTTGCTATCGGGAGCCTCTCGCCGCTCTATCGGCGATGCATCGCAGGAGTCCAGGTCGATGCTTCCCCCTCTCTGCCAGTTCCCCCCTACCGTACATCGACAAAATGCTGCATCATTTTAGGCGGGCCCTGGAATGCGTGCTTCAACACTCCGTACCCCCCCCTTTCCCCATCTAAAATATTGGGGGCATGCGAGGAGGAGCTGCTTGGAATCCCCCAGGCGATCGACAGAATGCTGCACCACCGAGCTGTCTCGGCGATCCCTGACCGTACCCCACATCAGATGGGGGAGGGGGGGAGTGAACACGAATCGTTGATGGTAAAACGACGTATACGATGTCGTGGGCATTGGGTGGTGCAACACTTGGTCGATGTACCATATCGTTGCCTTTAAACTTAGAGTGAGGGCCCACGCCAAGAAACACCCTGATTGCCTGAAGGGTGAAATGGGTTTCTTGGGTTCCGATGGTTTTTTTGCGATGGAATGCGCGACGTGCCCACACCAAAAATCCATGGACGTCCTGGGGTCTCCTGGTTGGGTTTCCTGTGGAAGGTTTCTTGTGGCCGAGCATCTACTGTATACGTGGCCCTCCGTCGTGGCGTTCAGGAACACCTCCAGACCAGCCGCCCACGACAGACTCAAGGCATCGTGTCGTGCGCTGGACCCTCTAGGAGGTGGAGGAGGAGGAGGAGGAGGA